CATCCTCTTTTCCCCGGACATGTCAGGATGCGGTGTATTTAAATATTTTTGAATGAGCGTTTGCGCGGTTTACTTTCACTTTCGATTTCGCAATCACACGCATTATCTCTTTCATCTTCATTTGACCTTCTAACTCTAATTTTATCTGCTTGGTTTTTTTAATCAAAAAACTTGACCCTCTAACATTTGCACTCTCTGTTCTATTTCTATTCTAATGGCCAATCCATCATTTTTTGGGGGATTTTTTATTTATTTATTTATTTATTTATTTATGTTTTAATAAGTATCGGTTCAGGCACCATTTAGGCACCGTAACCGTTTTAAAAGTATCGATTTGGCACCGGTATCGAAAAAGAAAAAAAACGATACCCAACCCTACAGATTTATTTAAACACACAAATATGATAAACAGCAAATAACTTTCTCTTATTTTCTTTTTATTTATTATAGATAATGACCTTCTTACTGTCACGAGGCACACACACGAGGAACGAGGAGACGCTGGAGAAAACTTTACCAAGACTTTATTTTCAGGAACCAAGGGAGACGAACTCAGGAAGACGTTTAACAGCGTCGCTTTGTCTCACACACACGCAGAGAGACAGAGAGAGACAGAGACAGAGAGACAGAGAGACAGAGAGAGAGAGAGAGAGAGAGAGACTTACATACCATGCAGAATTGACGCGCTACATGTAAATGATATTCTTTGTTGTTGTATTTTCCCGTCAAAGAGCTCCTTTGAAATTCTTCAGCTTTTAAGAACTGCCGGGTTCTCCGGCAGTGGGTGGAACTAAAACGCAGACGACAATCTCATTGGCTGGCACTCAGCTATTATCGTCCCTGTTTTTGATTTCAGCAAATCAGTTCGAGTGAACGCACACAACCTGATTAATATTCATGAATCAGCTCGTTAATCCTTAGTGTGTTTTATATTGTTCTTAGAATTCGTAATATTATATTATTATTATTATGTTATAAGTATTATTGTAAGTTTTTTCCCATTTTTTACAGAAACACTGAATAACCAAAAAAGCACCACCACCAGTCAAGTTCAGTTAAAATTACTAATATGCATTCATACATGGTTACCAAGTTTAAATTCTAATTACTAAAGTTCTATCATTAAATAATACTTGATAATCATAATATCATGTTATAATGCTTGACTGACTGATGTTAAGAGTGTACTTTCAGATCTTTAAAAAGCTGTGTGTGTATATATTAATAATAAAAACCTTCATTTAAAAACTGCATGTTGTGTTTACTTGTGTTATCTTTGACTAATATTTAAATTTGTTTGATGATCTGAAACATTAAAGTGTGACAAACATGCAAAAAAATAAGAAATCAGGAAGGGGGCCAACACTTTTTCACACCACTGTATATATATTACTAGCCAATGGCGATTCAATTGCCAAGGTGTCCATAGAGGGTTGAAACAGCTAATAAAAGCATCACAATAATCCACATGTAATCGACAATCGACTCCAGTTGGTCAATTAATGTCTCGTGAAGTGAAAAGCTGTGTTTGTAAGAAACAAATTTATCATTAAGAAAATTTTAATGTCAAACCGTTGCTTCCGGTTGCTTCAGAGTTCATAATATTGCTTTCTCCAGTGAAAAATCTGTCTGAATCAGGAGAGAAATCTGCACAGATCAAGCACTATTTACAAGATGTTAATTTTCAGAACATTTTTTTCATTTTAATTTTACTTTAAGGCATTGTTGCTGTGTCCGGATGGTGATAGCACCACAGTATTTATACAGTTCAAAGGAAATCAAGTTAGGACAGAAAAGGAGAAAATATTTTTTTTTTAATTACACACTTAAGCTTATAAGGGCACCATCAAAAGTTTGTATATGGTTTGAAAATAACAGCAGCAGCAGTTCCTCACATAAGAGAAAACATCTAGTTACAGTTCCATCTCATCACAAAGTTTGACTTTAAGATGAACGCCGATACAACTCAATACAAAAAAAAAAAAATTATCTTTCTAAAATTAAACGTACCATGACAAGACCACCAGCTGTGAATGGAATAACTGATACCAGCAAGCTTGTTCTCTGAAGCTTGGGAACTATGGTGAGTGGGTGGGGACACTGCAGTCCCTAAAGCTTTTAAAAACAACTCAAATGTCTTTTGTCATCAGGTCTTGCACTGAAATGAATGACACACCGGAGGACTATTAAATGTTCTGCACTAGGGGTGTGCGATATATATCGTCTGCGATAATATCGTAGGGCTGGACAATAATTCAATATCAATATGTCAAGTCAAGTCAAGTCAAGTCAAGTCTGCTTTATTGTCAATTCTTCCACATGTACAGCACATACACACAGAGAATTGAAATTGCGGGAGCAAGACACAGACAAAACATGGAACAGAGTCTGACACTTACACTAGCATTATCTGTTTTTTTTCTGTTTTATTTTTATTTAAAAATGACCCTCTAACACTTGCATTATCTATTCTTTTTCTATTCTTTCTACTTGTTTTCTTTTTATTATAAAAACAAAATAAGCACACAAACAAACAAAACCGTGCTACTTATACTGTTAGGCGAAGCCCCGCCCACGAACCCGCCCCCTACTGTCCTTTTTTTGAAAAACTAAAACATGGTCACCCTACTAATGCTAAACTTCCCTTGTAATGACTTGCAATGAGAAGCGTTTCTAAACCTGTTGTCCAACAAAAGAGAACATCATAACCTGTTCTTACTCCGGTCCACAACATCAGTCAAGTGTTTAAAATAACTTCCTTTTGTGATCTAATGCTGCTTCTTATCACAGAATGAGGCAGAAAATATATTGTATACTGTAGAAAAAGGCTATGTCAATTAGCATTGGATTATAAATATACATAATTATTATGAAAATACCCAGACATTAAATGTGTTTATAGCGCTCATTAATGGCCAATCCATCCTATTATGGGTATTTATTTATTTTGTAAAGTATCGGTTCAGGCACCGTTTAGGCACTGGTACGCTTTTAAAAGTATTGATTTGGCACCGGTATCATAAAAAACCCAATCGATACACAACTCTAGATCTTACTCAGCTAAATGTGACTATTAGCTTAACAGCTGTATTCCTTGTTTGCTAACTACCTATGCACATACTGCATACAATGTTAAAAATGTTCTACATTATAAACCTTAACCCAAAAACCTTTAGCTTCATACACTGTAGATTGTGACCCTGCCTGTGGAAACCCAGCTGAAGTATTTTTTTTAAACAGTGGATGAGTAATTCACTCCTTAATTTGCTTAATAAAAGCCTCCTTTGAGATCGTTTTGACAGACATGTTTATTGTGTATTATTTTCAGCGTGTTTATTGCTAAGTTTAGTGCGGCAGAATAGAAGCGCAGCCGTAATTCGCGTGCAGTGTATCTGGTTGCCATGCTGCTGCTCTGTGTAATCAGAGTGAATATGTAGATGTTCTATAGCAAAACTAAATTGTGTTTAAATGTTCGAATGACCAAATCGTCCGGCTCTATTTGCCCCCCTCGAACTCGAAGACATCTCTAATTTGATGGTTTACCATCTGATCTCACTCAGTGACTCTAGGCTACGTAGGACGGGACAAAACCATGCAGTGAATGGGGGGAGATAATATTGCCGGAAATGCAGAAATAAGCCGTAAGTTTGCTTTATTTGTAACTCTTTGGTAGATACATTTATAATTCTATTACATTACTACTACTACTGTTACTACTAATAAAACAGATCTCTGGGGGCCCCAAAAGTGCGTGGGCCCTTAGAATCCTGGCAAAGGACCAGCATAAACCAGCAAAAGGACCAGTTTAAACCAGCATCAAAACATACCTAACCAGCATATGCCGTTTTTTTCAACAGGGCAGCAACTCTTTCCTATTTTAAGCATGTGCTCATTAATATTAAGCTTCTGTGTTCTATGTTCATGTTCTAATGGACTACTCGCACTGAGCCTCGTGACGCACTTCCGTTTTGAAATATTACGGCTCAGTTATTTCCGGTTCTGTATATTGTCAGTGTGCTGTAATCATGTAGTTGACTTAAACGCCTAATAAAATGAGAGTTCGCGGGATGATTTCAAAAGCCGGATATTTTCAGAGACAGAGAAGACATATTCTGATGATTACTGTGTACAGAATTGTCCAAACTCAACGGAACGTAACACAAACCGATCTGAGAAAGCGTGGCTGGTAATCATACGTGATTCAGCACGTGACGCTGCAGTGTTTGTGAGGTCTGATGAATCAGATCAGAAGTATGTGTATGAAATATGCTAGCTATTCTGTGTCATCATTTCACTGTAGCCTAATGCCAAAATATTAATATTCAAAGTAGTCGCATTTCAAATTATTGAAATGTTTAACATCGTTAAATAAGGCAGTTACCGCACATTCATTCAGCCATTTCAGAATAAGAGCACCAACGCACACAAACTACACATTAGCCGTGGTTTCACTACAAATAACACCAAAAAAGCAATTGAACTTAAACCATATAACCACAAATTAACTCGAGTTTTACTACACTGACCATAAGGCTATTAGTAAAAGTGTTGATACAAATTGTAAAAACGGAAAAAACATGGCATTTCTACGAGGGTGCTTATCAGTCAAATTCATTTAAAACTGTGCATTCAACAGGTATGAAATATGATCAGTAAAAGAAAAACACTGTTCACGAGAAGACAAGCGGCAGGTTAGTGGGGAAACATATGTATTTATTATTCAGAAAGCACTTTTGGAAGGGAAATATATTTATAGGAACATTTCAGCAGGTTGGAGATAATTCATGTTAACGCAGAGAATATGATGAATCGGTTTTTTTAAGAAATGCCAGCCCTAAAATGTAGCAATAATCTGCGTTATAATGAGAAACTGTCTGAACGCTAACCGGAAACTCCCGAGCCGTAATAAGTAGAACGCGGAAGTAGTTGTGCAAGTAGTCCATAAGGTCACGTAGCAGCTTGAGCACGACCTAATTAATATTCATGAGCTATCTTCTCGCGACGCCCGAAAAGTCTCGCAGAGTCTCGCGAGAGGCGCTCACTTGTACGGCCGCCATATTGTGTGACACTATTTTGATTCTTATCTGTTGGAAGAGAGAAAGCAAGAGAGAAACTAAGCGGAGCCGAGGGGACCCGCAGAAGAGCTGTCAGAAGAGAGCGAGGCGGCGGCGGCAGCGGGATTCGCGAGCGGAGTTGGGCCTGGTTCTGTAGCAGATCCGCGGCGCTGACACGGTGAGAAAAGCGCTTCAGAGCAGGCCTTCCGAGCAGATCTGCGCTGTTTCTGCTCGTTTCTGACCCCCCGAGGACGCGATGGTCCGCTGGCGTCGCGATCTTTCTTCTGCTCAGTTCGTTGCCGTTAAACGTCTAGCGTTAGTCGTGATTGAGCTCTCGGTTAGCGGTGAAGCAGCTCGGGGGGCTGTGTGTTTGATCTGACAGTTGGTTCGTGGAGGCTATCAGGCCCCGAGCTCCGTGGACCTGAAGAATTATGCTTGACGAGATCCCAGGATATAAAGGTCATGATGAAGCACATTACACGCGCTTTCACGAGCCCAGAACACACACACATGCATCTGAACTGCTGAGCTGTTATTGGCAGATGAAAACAAATCAAGAGACTTCAATCCAAGCGCATAATCTGACGCGCCTAAACTGCGTTTATAGTGATAATAATGTAATAATCAGGTGTCAGAAGTGCATTTCACTGGAGTGCATCATCGTGTATGTGATGAGAACAGCACGGTCTCTGCCTCGAATATACTGTCTGTCATATCGTATCCCATAATGCAGTTTAGCCTACATTCCAAGCAACATAAATGATCAGACAAATGACGAGACCAGCACTTAAATGTTGCAAGCTGTCTCACACACATTTCAGAAACAGCAGTAAGTGTGTGCTGATCAGAAGGCCAGTGTTACACGGTGAACAAAAACCCTAGTCCTGCGGTCCAAATGTGGCGTTGTGTGATGCATTAACCTGGAAAAGACTTCACAATCAAACAGCAAAGTTAATGAAGCTGGTAAAGTAGGGCTGTATGATTTGAAGGAGAACTCAAATTGCATTTTTTCCCTAATAAAATAGCTGTTGCTATAGTAGACCGTAGCCAACTGAAAAACAAATACTGTGGAAGTCAATGGCCCCACATGAAATAAAAAACCTATATATATATATATATATATATATATAATAAAACCGGGTTGCTATAAAGTAGTAGTGGTAGTAATAATAATAGTCAGAGGGCAGAACACTCAGGATTTAGATGGTCCAGATTTTAATATGCCCTGCCAAACTGAGGTTATCACACCGACGCTTTACTGATAACATTTCACAGTTCTTGATTATGACTCTTATAGCACAAACAAAACCACTAGCTTAAGTAATACAATGTTCAAACATTATTAAAGACAAACAAACAGTCAGTAATCAAATAAGAAATGGCAAGAAATACCACAAATAAACAATACAACAAATGTACAAATAAAGAGGTTTTTCAGGTAGCTCGATCAATAATATTTAGGTAAGACACTACTGAAATGAAGTAATCGGATGTCAAATAATACTGCGTAGTCTTCACTATATAAACTAACTAGATTTATGATTATTAAAGACATGGAAGGAATAATTTGGTCACGTTAAGACCAAGCGGGTGCGCTGTCTCAGAAGAGCTTCAGTGAGCAGGCAGCGCTAGGCCTGCTCATAATCACGCTTATTCATGGGTCATACCACCACAACTTTATACGGAAGATTTATTTAAAGATAGTGATATATATCAAATATATATTTTCTGTAAATAAGGTTGCAATGACATCTACATTTTAGAGACCAGCGAAATGTCACAATTCTCAACACCACAGCAGAGTACTAGAGTAACTAATGTTAGTTAAAAAAACAACAACAAAAGGTCCTCAAAATTAGTGAAAATAATTAAACTGTACTAAAAAAGCAAAGTAATACAATAGAATAAAAAAGATACAAATGAAACAAACTGTGCTTTAAGTTTTTAATGCAAGTCTAAAGTATTAAAGTAGCCTACTAGATAAATTGAATAACAAAACAGCATAGTCTTCACTGTAAGATTTAAACTTCCTTTGTTACAAAAGTCTTTCAGTCAAGAGCAGGGAGATATTTTGTATTTGTTGTTTGATTAATATCAAGCACACAGTCGCAGCAGGAATATTAGGCTGCTGTCACTTTAAGAGCTGCACGGATCCAGTTTACTGTTACACACGTATTTTCATTCTCAACGCTTTACGTTCATTTATTACATAACCGGCGAGGGTTTACGTGAATAATCACTAATCACCACATTTTTGTGCACCGTTTAATTGGCGCTAAAAGTTGACTTTGTTTTGATTTTGAGCGCATACACAGTAATCCTCCCGAGGAACAGCGCAAGCTCTCTTTCACGCTTTTAAAAACATGAATAAATCTAATATACTTTAAGAAATCAAGCACATCCCATTTTGCGAAAGTCTCGTTACTGATTTTACTGATTTGTGCGTGAAATTGTGCTTTTATGGAGGAGCGTAAGAGCACCGCTGGAAACGGGGCGATCTCGATTACTGTGTTTTCATAATCGGTGGAGGCCGAAACTGAAACTTTTGGCTGCCAGTAGTGTTGTCACGGTACCAAAATTTCAGTATTCGGTACCAATACCAGTGAAAATCCACGGTTCTCGGTACCAATTTCGGTACCAAAGCAAAACACAAAAACATGCTATTTGAACAACATTTTTATTAATAACGTTAAACAAAACTTAAATGTACAAAACCAATGCCATTCTTTATACTTTTAAAATTGTTTCAAGTTTTTCCACAAGTAAAAGTATGAAAAAGTAAACAAGTTTCACCCAAAAGTTTAGTCATAGTTCTGCTGCCGCTGAAAAACATCTGTAAACTGTTGTCTGTTTTAGGGTTTGCTGGTGTGTTTCAGGATCGTCCTCAGTCTGCAGCTGTAAAAGAACAATATAATATACTTCAGTAAAGCTTCACAATTTAGCCCCTGGGTATTTGTCAAGTATGGTATCAGCTTATACTCCTACGAGATCTCTGAGGTCCAAAAATCAACACCTCCTTTGTGTTACTAAGACAAAATACAACCACAGGGGAAATAGAGCCTTTTCACGAGCCGGTCCAAAACTGTGGAATGACCTCCCTCGTACTATTAGATCTGTTAACTCACTACCGCTTTCAAAGCTATGTTAAAAGCACATCCTTTAAAGGGGTCATATGATGCTGCTAAAAAGAACATTATTTTGTGTATTTGGTGTAATGAAATGTGTTTGTGGTTTAAAGTTAAAAAAACATTATTTTCCACACACTGTACATTATTGTTTCTCCTCTATGCCCCGCCTTTCTGAAACGCGTCGATTTTTACAAAGCTCATCGTTCTGAAAAGCGAGGTGTGCTGTGATTGGCCAGCTATCCAAGTGCGTTGTGATTGGCCGAATACCTCAAGCGTGTGACGGAAATGTTACGCCCCTCACCATACTGTGATGCCGTGTCCCGGGCCGGAGCGACGAGACAAAAACATTAAAACCCATTATAAACGAGGCATTTGTTGCATCCAGTGGGGACATAATTACGGATTATAATGACTTATACTGTCTTTTTACGTGTTATCGCGTTATACGCGTTTATGCGTATCGCGCCGCGTAAACATAAAACCATGTCTGCATTTGTGATCGGAGAAATGACAAACAACAAGCCCTACTCTACACTACCCAAAACTCACGTTTGAATCATCAGTGGCAAATCCTTTAAATATAAAAAACATACTTACAGTCTGTGAGTCATGAAGCGCCAGACTGTCCTTGCAAAGTTGGAACTGCCCCACTTTATAGAAACAGCCTTTGAGCACAGACGTCAGTCTAGCACGAGATTATGCACTTTAAAAATGTCATTTAGAAATTCATTTGTAAGTCGCTTTGGATAAAAGCGTCTGCTAAATGACTAAATGTAAATGTAAAAAACACTCCCGTTATAATCAGTGATGCCATCTACGCTCTGATGAATAAATCTCGTATACTTACTAGAGCCCGACCGATATGGGTTTTTTGGGGCCGATACCGATATTAGGGAGTAAAAAAAGGTATATACCGATATATCGGCCGATATTCTGTGTGTATATTATAGTACAGTACCAGTCAGAAGTTTGGACACTTTCCCATTCCTGTGTCCAAACATTTGACTGGTACTATATATAGAATACAGTATAGACATAAACAGAATATATACACACAAACACATTTTTTGCAATGATCACTCAAATGTGGTGATCAAACACTTATAATGACGTGACAGAGATACGTAATGATGGAGGCAGGGCATTTAACAATTTAACAATAAACTTTATTATCCAAAATGAGTCTGACATCAGTTCACTGAACTGTAAAGTTGAAGTTTATTCAACTTTAATTGAATTCAATTCCATTCAACTTCATTGCTTTGAAGTTTATTTCACTTCATGGATTTGCGCCACTGTCTTCACACACAGACGAAACTTACTAGAGAAGTGTGACATAATATACCTCTGTAAATAAATACTAGGGGTCGACCGACGTGTTTTTTAAGGCCGATGCCGATACCGATTATTACAGATCAAGTAGACCGATAACCGATATTTTGAACCGATATATATGTCTGGTGTAAAAATGAAAATTAATGTCAAAATTAAGAATTGAAAATGACCGATACCGATAATCATAAAAATGCTTAATATCGGCTCTGTTTAGTGTGGCGTGTCGAGACTCATCAGCGAGTAACGCATCTGCTCTAGCGAAGCTCGCAACCGCTGCGCTGTCGTTTGAACTTTGAGCCGAGCGATAAACGTTTCGTTCTGCTTCTGGTGCATAAACATTATATCAAACATTTATCAAACTCTTGTTATCGGTTAATCAAGCAAAATTACATCGCGAGAATGACTGTCTGCCCTCTCACAATCAGTTTGAAGCCATCTTTACTCCGTGGCTTTGCCTTGTTGAATATACTGTAAAAGGAGTGTATGTGAGAATGCAGTATGACTCGGACATTCCTTTTACTCTGGTGTTTTGTGGTGCTGGTGGTATTTCATCTGTGCCAGTGGATGCATGCGAATACATTTCTTCCGTCGGTTCACAAGGAAGTGAGTGCATGAGTAACATCCCTTCAGAATGGCCATTGCATTCATGCAGTCAGTGGACATGACCGTAAATCTCAGCGCTGCAAATACACATTGAAAGTTGAAACCTTTGACA